TCAGATCTCTCTCTCTCTCTCTCTCTCTCTCTCACACACACACACACACACACACACACACACACACAATTTTTGACATATCGACTTGGTACCGAATTCCAATGTCACTCATCACAAGAATCTTATGAATGATGTCTACAACAAGGGATCAGTAGTCCCAATGAGAGTTTCATTCAGCCAAATCTTAAATTGTATGTATATACAATATCCCAAATTTGAAAGGTTGAAAATCTGGGATTTGTGAGGTAGATGGTGTTGGAGTTTGAAATGGGACAGGGACTGGGAGCAATTCCAGAGTTCATTGAAGACTATAGAGGAAGGCTCGGTTTTTAGATTGATTTATATGATTTGTTGGTGTATTATTTTTGGAATCCACTGCCCATGTCATTGAAAAGTTGAAATGAGCACTGTGTAGAGGATAGGTCTAATGAGCAATCCTTCAATGGTACTCGTAAGAAAGAGGGTCTTGACCAAGTTGAGCTGCCAAATTTCTTGAATGCAATCTATTGCTGCACAAATGTGGAACAATAAATATTCATTTTCTATATCCGTGGCAAAGACAACATTGTTAGATTGAATGAGAATGAGTTTTTCATGGGCTAAAATTGAGGTCTTCAACTCTTCTTTTATTTCTTTTTGAAAATGTGGTCTTCAACTCTTTTATACAAATGAGTATAAAACGACTGAATGAGTTCACTCCTCTGGGCAAAATATGACAACAATACACAGATATGGATTCAGACAGTTACATCTATGTTCCTTAAGACATATTAAAGCCTGCCGAACTAGAGTAATTGCGAAAATTAGTCAAGTTTGGCCTGGCGAAGTTGTCATGTCTATGAAGTGTGTCTCTCAGGCTTAAATTTTTGAAGTAAGTGCCAATATGTTGAACTTGTGTGTTTTTCTTGTAGCCTGATGGTTGATTTTCTATGCTTCAAATGCTAAGAACTCTGTATGTAAAGATGATAAGTAAAAGGTTCATCTGATAAAACTAATAATCTATCAAATATAGAAACAAAAGAAGTCTGTGCTCTTGATATGTTGCCTTATTAATGACATGCAAAAGATTCAGAGGACATTTTATTTTGGTCTTTCTTTAACTGTTGTATGAGGAAAAGTATATTTTGCTCCTCTAATTTTTGATGGCCTATTCATTAGATCATTGCTGAATCATCCGGAAGAAATAGTTCATGTAATGCTCTCACAAGTTGCAAGGTAGAGTTTCTAGGAATTTAACTTCTGGTGAGCTGGTTAATAGAGTACAAAATAAATGAAAAAGGAGGTCATTCTTTCCAACCTATAACCTGGCATCCTGGTTGAGCTGTTGGTGAATGGTCTTCCCAAACGATGATGAAACCATCTCAAAGGAGTGGTTTGATTGAGTTGAACAAAGAAATGGTTGAGCTGTTGGTGAATGCCCAAAAGATGATGAAACCATCTCAAAGGAGTGGTTTGATTTGAGTTGAGCAAAGAAAATGAATGCGCACTTCAGAGAACCAAAGAAGGATAAATGGTACAAAGAATTTGATATGTTGTAGTTACTTGGAGAGACTAGAGAGTTTTAAACAAACTTGAGGTCTATCAGAGAAGTCACAGCTGCTGTTGATGAATGCTTGGATGCTTTAGGAGGGGTGTCTCTGGAAAAGCTTTCTGTTATCCTTGTCTTTGACTGGAGAGGCTCAGGAAAAATTGCTCTACTCATTTAGATATCTCCATCTGACATTACTGGAGGGGGGGAGTTATAGCATTCATCACTGGTGTATGTTATCTGGTACACCACAATGACATCAGCCAGCTATGGTCAATGCTGCATTTTTAAGGTTTATTGCATGTTCATGATGAATGGTCATTGAGGAGGGGAGGGAGGGCGGACTACGTTCAATCGCGATCGTTAGTTGTTGGCAACATGCTGGATGCTAGCATGGAATACCATATGCCATTGTAGGGTATACATAATCGCCCATTATGGATACTTTTACATATGCTGAGGGGGAAACTCAAGGCTCTGACCTCTCATTAATTGAATGTCTCACATCTGTGAACAATGTCCACAAGAACTTAGTTTGTTTTATAGGGAGTATACTTGAATTTCTGCTCCATATTTGATTCACAATTTTGAGCTTTTTCACTCTCTAAAGTGGGAGAGTGTGTGTGTTCGTTCCATGTTCTATATGTTTGAAAGCAATCTTGGGCTTTTGAGGCAGACTTGTATCTTCGCAAGGTCCACAAATTGAAGGTGTTTGATCCATGAAAACTGAAGCCTCACTATGTTCCAAGAAAAGAAAAAAAAGCATGAATCAGAAATACTTAAAAACAACATGAGCCATGGGTCCACCAAAACATATCTCCTTTTATATTGTTGTCCCTAAGTCCTAGTTGTCTAGGGCAGTTTGCTGGTCGAACGATTACATAGAATGGCCTTGATAATTTTGTGAACATTAGAAAAAAAGGAGGATAATTCATGAGCCCAAGGGCCTAATGGAATGGTATGGGTCCCGTGGCCCAGGTTGAAGCTGAAAGAAAAGAACAGAACAAGGTTGTATTGCATGGAAACAATTTTTTTCTTGAAAAAGAATGTGATGGACCTCAAACATTGAATGTATGTTGACCTCATTGAGATGCTCCCAAAAAAAAAAATAAAAAAAAAAAAAGGCTGGGAAGAGATGCGGATAAAAAAATGACTCTTCAGACATGCAGTGAGCTATAAGATTTTCAAATCATTCTCATGGCTCCTCAAAAATACATTCCTCCAAAAAAGAAGTGGAGCTCAACAACTGCCTCGAATCAACTTCGTCTCCCATATCAAACCCTTAAGCGTCCAGCCATATGACCAATATTTCGAGCAGCTCCGAAAAAATAAACCTGAAGAAGATTATTTCTTTTGCTCGTCTCCCTCACCCCGGCATTGTAGGTAAGGGAAGCACGAAATTTGGGTTTCCATGTGGAGCCCGCTGTCGTTTCCCAACAAAAAATTTGCTTGGTATATGGAAATGAGCACATTTTAGTAGTCATTCTTGTAAAGTTCAACGGGGGATTACATGGGCAATGCATGAGGGGTGGACATGAACTCATGTTTGTTGGGGAATAACAATATATCGCCAAATCAAAATTTTGGTAATAAACTGTTGGCGGATTGCCATTGCTGCCAATAGTGACCGGACCGGAGCTTCCTTTGGTGGAAGGCGAGAAAGTGGGCTCTAATGAGATATGGGGGTTTCCTGTAGAGTCTCTAAAGAGGTGGTTGCTATTGTTCCAAATGAGAAACTTAATGGCTCAGGCAATGCCGAAGAAGGGAAGGCTGAAGGAAAGGACGGTGGAGTGGCGGATAAGATTGACAAAGGAAAAGGCATGGCTAAGGCCAGATCTATTGTGCAACCTACGCGCTCTTCCTCCAGAATTGCGGCTGGACAGCTAGGGGCCAGGATTGACAATGGTAGTGTTGTGATTCTTAGCGATTTTAGTGATGCCGGTTCAAAATATAGCTGTTCCTCTTCCTCTTTCTCTTTCTCCATGTCTGTCAGGGATGCACCACCTGTTGGACCTGGTTCTACCTCTTATTACATTCCATGAAGATCCTAAGTTGGAATAGGCAGGGATTGGGTGGTATCCACCTCAAGAAGGAGGTGCTTGTGCTTATTAAAAAGTATAGATCTGAAGTTTTTTTTTTGTAGGAAACTAAATTATCTAGTTCTTATACGTCTGATGTTAGGGAAGTCTGAGGTCTTGGTTTAGTTAGTTTTTGTGGTATTGATGTCGATGGTGCATCGGGGGGCTATGGTGTCTCTAGGATCCTTCTGTTTTGCAGTGTGTGGATGTTATTTTTCAGAGACCCTTCTGTTAGTTTGATTCTTGAGGGACCATTTTCTAATCTCAGATGGTTATTATGTAATGTGTATGGACCAATGCTCCCAGTCTTAAAGAACAATTTTTGAATGATTTGGGCTCTATTATTAATGATTTAAGGTTACCTTGTTGCTTTGGTGCAGCTTTTAATCTCAATAGATGGCCTAAGGAAATCTCTATACATCATTCTATTAATTCCAATATACGATCATTTAACAATTTCATTATGCATCATGGCTTCTTGGATGTCCCCATATCTGGAATTCAATTCATTTGGTGTAACATTTCAACATCAAATTTGATTACGAGTAAACTTGACAGATTTCTTATATATAGGGATTTGGGAGAGTTCGTTCCCTTTGACAAGTGTTTCTTGCTTATCATAGCTCTCATCTGATCACAACCCTATAAACAGTGGCAACTTTGTTTTGGGCTCTAGACCTTTTAGAATGGAACTCATATGGCTTGAAAACAATGAGGCGGTTGATATTATTGAATGGACCCTAGAGAGTACTGTTGTGAATCGGTCGATTGGATATAGAAGGCATAAAATGTTGTTAAATGTGAAGCATATGTTGCTTGAATGGAAGAAAACAATAGATTCTATATCAGAGAGGGGCTAATCTACATGAGAGAGGGGCTTGATAATATTTTGAGACGCATTCAACTTTTTGACCAAGAGGTGCAGCAGACGTGGACCCTAACTATGCAACAGTTGGAGGATCGGAGAGAACTAGAGCATTATTTGCATGACCTCTTGAAAATAGAGGAGATATATTTGAAATAGAGGTCGAGAATAAAGTGGCCTAAAGAGGGTGACCAAAACACAAGATTCTTTTATGCGATTGCAAATGCTAGGGGACAACAGTATTGTTTTTCAGAATGCAAATGCTAGGGGACAACAGTATTGTTTTTCAGAATGCAAATGCTAGGGGACAACAGTATTGTTTTTCAGAATGTAGTGGAGGGTGACATTGCAAGTTGAGAGGATGGTTTTGTGTAGCATTTCCAAAAAAGTGTTCACCTTTGAAGAAAGTTTCAAAGTTTATTTGGAAGGGGTACCTTTTAGTTCGCTTCTTGAACATTATGCTGCTTAGTTGGAGGCCCCAGATACAATGGAGGAGTTAAAGACGTGCCATTTTTTAGCTACATGGAGTTAAATCATTTGGACCCGATGGTTTTCCCTTGGTTTTCTTTCGCAAGTTTTGGGATTTGCTTAAATATGATTTGCTGGATATGGTGGAGTAATTCATGGTGAGAGGTATTATGGATAGGGGCATTAACTCCACCCATATCGTGTCGATTCCTAAGATAGATGTTATTTTTGTGACTGTATAGAAACCAATTCACTTGACTTGGACTACAATGTAGACAAAAACAAGCCAATACACCTTGTAATTTTTCAATACATTTTGAAATTACAACTTGTAAAAACAATTCACAACAAGAGTCACTGTAACTACACTGATCTATTGACTTTCAAATACACTCAATTGAGAGCATATAACTCAATTAGGGTCTCTTGCACATGAACAAAATAAGTTACAAAAAGAGATCAACAAACTACAATATGCATTTAAAAATGGGTACGGTTTGTATAGAGCCTAGGCTCTAAACAATCAAATTAGAGCCTACCTTCAAATAGTGTCAAGAATTATAGTTTCAATATTGGAAATCTTTGTGATAGGCTTAAAATATATTTTCATATTTATTTATAAAGTCTAAGGCTTCAAAAATAGTGTATATCGACATATTTATGAAAACTTGAAAAGCTTGAAAATTGATGGTTAAAATTTTTTTATAAAATATATTATTTCTAAAACTTGAAATCCATTTTTTTTCACATATCCATGCATCTTGATGTCAAGACGATCAATTTGAAGATATTTGAGCATCAAAACAACCTCTTCTAGTGAAATTTTTGAGGTAGGCTCAAATTTAATTGTTTAGAGCCTCGGCTCTATATAAACTTTTCCCTTTAAAAATTTAGAACCGCTCAAACTTACAAAAAAAAATTATATATCAATGAATTCATAAAACTCATCACCACATGATCTCCATTATATCAACATACATATGCTCAAGTATGCAATGCAACATGACCATGAAAACCAATCATAGCTCTCAGGTGCCAAGTTTATGGCTTTGGGTCTTAGCTATGTACTATTGAGTGTCATACGATGACATACCTAAAAAATGGGCCAATTTCATCATCTAACAAGGGGGAAGCCAAACATTTACTGCTATACACTTGAAACATAGAAGGATTTGCATAGAGGAGAAAAACAAGCTCATAAAACACAAAGCCGGTTCAATTAAGTTCACAATTCGGTTCACAAAATTTCGGCGTAGTCTTTTCTTATAAAACCAACAATTCAAGGGATAAAAAAGAACTAAGTGACTCTTATTATCATGAAAAAACTCAGAAAAATATAAATCAAAATTACTCTAAAATTCAAGGAAGAAAGCTCATGCAAACTGTCAAAATGTACATGGATAAAGCCTTTAATTAAATGGATCAAGTGAGATGAATGATGATTGAAAAGATCAAAGATTTAATCATCGAAGGATGAAGAAATGTTGTTATAATTTAGTATTTACAACAAAGAGAAACTAAAGGAATCAATGAAAACATAAAGATCTTACTCAATTGTGGAAGGCTTGAAGACTACATCATCCAGGACTTGAATTTTGAGCTTTGGATCACCATCGATAGGGAAGTATAAAACTTTCAATGGAGTTCATCTGTCATCGTAACTTGAAGATCTTAGAGCGATTGGGGTGTGCCACTCAAATGGGAGAGACAAATTCGTGCCACTTTTGGAGAGAGGAAGGTCAAGCAAACTCATGTAAGGTAAATGAAGGGTCAAGGGGGTATTTATAAGCTTCTAACCATCTACTAATAGTTACAAAGATAGACATGATCCTAAAATACTATTAAGATGTGTTGTATAGATTTAAATACATTTATCATTTTTTAATTTATTTTAATTTCCCTTGTTATTAAAATACCTATGCTCATTACATTTAATGAAGCTAAAACCAAGATGCAGGGATACCTTTATAGTAATTTGTCAAAATTCCGGCAAAAATAAAGCTCAAAGTTCCCTCTAATTTATAAGAGGATGTGAGGCCAATGAAATCATGATACATAAGCTAGGCAATTAATTGTACATTTATTATATGCCGTTAAGGTTAGGTTTGTAATTATAAATCCTATACCTCTTCTAGAATACTCCATACATGTGCATAAAGCCCCTGCTTTAAGCATTAAACATGTGCCGAACTAATTTTTTCAAGAACTCAATATTGCATAAAATACATAATTCAATGCCCTTGAGTTAAAACAACAAATTATGAAAAAAATGTGGTTGACGTCATGCCCACATCATCTCCACATGGGGATGTGGAATCCCCAAGCCATTTGGTTGTCCTGTGTAGGTTTCGGAAGACTGTACTTGATTGTCATTTCTTTAAGACAATTATGCAAAATAGAATTTTTTGCTCAGAAAAATCCAAAAAAATTGTCATAAAATTATAAAAATCATTTTAATTATTTTAAATAAAAATAAATTATTTTGGCATTGATTGAAAATATTTCTAAGGGAAATTAGGATCCTTGGTGTTGAATTATAAAACAGAGCACTCAAATTGGCTAGACCTTGAATCCAAAGCCACCTTCTCAATATGACCTAACAGACTCATGACCCACAATGTATAATCAAGAGCTCATGATCTCAACTTATCAAAGTCAAACCGATATGCGACTCTGAATCCCCAAGTATATGTGGATTTCAAGTACACCCCGTAGAGGACATGCACATACACATGGTGCATGGGTTTCGGCACATGTGCACGTCTCTAACTAGTAGGTCCCTAGAAGAGTGGCTTCCTATGCATTGTGTCTGTATATGCACATGCTACGAGAATGTTCTAGAACTTGTGGATTTAGGCCAATATCCTCTATTGGCCATAACCTTCATGTACAAGGCCTTTTGTAACTAAACCTAACTAAAAGGTAACCCTCAACCTTCTTGGTATCCCCCATGCATATAAATTCTCTTGATCCCAGTGTGCCAAGATCTAAGAGTCGTGTTGCTTTTTTACTCCCACTAAAGTGAAAAGTCATAGAAAATGTTGAAATTTTGATATTGACTCTAGAATCTTGGTGCACTGGGACCAAGAGTTGTGGAACCCCGATTAAGTCATGAGAAGGATTTGAAAGGACATAATTTTAACATTCTCCCACTTGGCTTTTTGAGGTCTTAAATCTCATAATCACATCACATCATATCACATGATCCGTGAACATGATCCATAAGCATGATCCATAGAGATCCAAATGTAAACAAACAGCACCCCCCAAGAGCTGATTATCATTTAATCTTTCTAAGTCCCATATCATGTACATATCTCATAAATGCATTATGTACTAAGCCTTTGGTCATGGGGTCGGCTAATATGGCCTCATTGGATATATATGCCACTTCAATTTCACCATTTTCTATCTCATCTCTTATGTAATAAAACACGGCATTTATATGCTTGGATTTACTATGAACCTTGGCTCTTTAGCATATATTTGGCCGCTTGGTTGTCACACATTATTGTCATATCTCAAAGGCAGGTGTCTTTGATTGTTTAAGGAACTTCTTAATTCATGAAGCTTCCTTAGCCGCCATGCAACATGCAATGAATACGGATTATATAGTTGATAATGAAACTAAATTTTGTTTCTTAGTCAACCATGAGATGACACAACACCATACATTAAGTTCTCCTAAAGTGGATTTAAGCTCTCATACCTCTATCTTTTCTTATGCAAACTTTCATATGCATGCACATGTCTATATGAACAATCATTCTTATGTCCACAAACCCACTAATTCTCATGTAAGCATACCAAGTGTCCAAGCATCACATGCTTGTACTCTTATAAATGTTCATACAAATACTTATACAAATGCCCATTCTCATAATTATATTCTCTTACTCATTCATTGTTCTCAAACTTTCCGTAGTCATGAACCGGTACTAAAAC